TGGTTTTTTTGTCGCTAAAAAACNTAAAAAAAACATAAACAAAAGTCGACAAGAGGCCCGCCCTTACAACACAGAGAAGGGGGGATTTTTACTATAGAGGTTGACCCAGAGGTACCTTAGGAAATCAATATCATTGGCTCTCAGATAGCACAACTTCTTCAATTTGACGAATAATAAACGTATACTTAATCTCATCCCGAACGGACTATTGGTTAAAAAGTTATGAACGATTTCAGTTTGTACCAGAACTTGGTCAAACTAGCCACACGTAAGTGTTATACAAGTCCATCCATACCTAACACCTTTCTGACATTATAGCATACTAATTTATTGGTCTATGGGAGCCTATATGTGCACGTATAGCGAGTCTGGACGTGTATTTTGGGTACCTCATATTCTAACCAGTATCTTTTATACCAGTGAGAATATGAGGTACCCGAAATACACGTCTAGACTCGCTATAAGCACACATATAGGCTCCCATAGACCAATAAAGTAGTATTCTAGAATGCCAGAATGGTCTGTTAGGTATGGATGGACTTGTATCACGCTTACGTGTGGCTAGTTTGACCCAGTTCTGGTACAAACTGAAATCGTTCATAACTTTTGAACCAATAGTCCGATCGGGATGAGGTTAAGAATACGTTTATTGTTCGTCAAAACGAAGAAGTTGTGCTATCTGAGTGCCAATGAGATTGATTTTATATGGTACCTCTGGGTCAACCTCTATAGTAAAAATCCCTCCCCCTCTCTGTCCAATATTTTAAGTTGTCTGGGCCTATTGTACAAATGTGTGATTTTGTAAAAAAACCCCCCCCAATGTAAAAAAACCCCCATTTTATGTATACAGTACAATGTATATATAACTATTTTTTTGAATATGGATGAAGAATAGAACTTCTCTTCACAGTGATCGGAGGTGAGCAGGTGAACACGGTTAAGTGACCGCATATGCCGAACTATGGGGCTGAGTACGTTACTATACTATTTGAGATAGTTATAAGATTGATAGATTCAAGGAGAGGATTTTTAAGGAATGCGACGGTTCATGTTTTGTGTCACACCAGTTTACTGATCTCACTGCTACATAGTAAGCTGAGCTTTTTTTTGGGATGGTGCTCCCGCACGAGTGTGAAGTCTTGAGCGGGAGATCAGAAAGTGTGCTGAACTCTGAATCCGAAATAGAGTTAGATCGAGGAAGAGTATTCTCTCCGATAGCAGAGTTTGCTGTCTCTATTCGTTCTATGAGCGCAAATAGATGTGCAGAGTTGGATGTTAGTTCCCTTCCTAAATTAGAAACCCAATCACCCGATGCGCGTGCTTCTAACACTAGCACAAATCTCATTGCTCTACCGTTCAGTAATAATTCTGCTGCATTCAATGACTTCCTGAGATGCCCTGGCTTGCAAGCCCAAATTGATATCGATGATTGCAGGAGTACAAATATATGTCCCACTGATTGGGAAGCAAATCAGTTGGCACATAAGTCCAATGAAATTACGCTCACGACGAAGGAAGACGATAACAAAAAGGTGCTTCTAAGTAGTCACAACGTTCCAGAATCTGAAGAGAATATCTGCGTGAATACTGATACCAAGGATGTTGATATATCTGGACCACTTGGGCACATTTCTAGTACGAGCATACGTGGGAAGGGGTTCTTGGCTTGTTGGCGAGAGATGCGAGAGACTGCAAAATGTACGGAATCACAGTTCAAAACTATCGGTACAGGCGTGTATGCTATAGCTATGCTGGCTGCGATATTCTTAAACTCTCCGCTATTGCTCGTTGGGAATAACCTCGTGGAAGTTGCTACGGGGGTGGAATTGGCGGTCGTAGCGACCCTATGTAGTATTTGTATGGTGACCACAGCAGCACTGTCAGGCTATATACTCTACCGGCGTAAAAATAGTCTATGTAGGTGTCGCGGTAGGCTCTTCATGGTATACGCGCTTGTGGCGTCTTTATCAATAGTCCTGGCTTTCGCAGTATTATATGCGGATTTGATCGGAGTTATCGATTATAGTTGGGGTGGACCTCTCCTGGTCATGATGGTACACATAGGTCTAAACGAACTCTTGTGTGCGTGCGTAGCGCGCCAGAGGATCGTGTACGTACTGTTTGTTAAGCACAGATATGTTATCATATCAACGTCGGAGTATGTACGAACGATAGCAGTGTTGCAACTGCCATGTATCATCTCAGTGCCCACACAATTGTTGATTTATCCCACAGTAGGATCAGAAACCTACCGCGTCGCCTCTGCAGTGGTTATCGTCATATCCTTAGTGTTATACTCTTTTATCCTTGCGTATTACACCTACATGTGTCGAAACGTGAGCTTGTCCTTTTCGGACTGGAGGGTGTACGCTCGCTTTTGCACAACAATACTGGTGACGGCTGCTGTGATTCTGACGTTAGGCTTGGTCGACTTGAAAACCGGAAATCAGTTACATAGGCCTGCGCTTATCTTGTTCTGCGTATTAGTGGCCATAGAAGTCTTCTTCGTAGATCTTTTCTTTCTGATAGCATACATCGCTGATAAGAGCTACTCCACAGATACGCTTTTAGACCCCAAACGCACTTTTTCTGGTACACAACGGACCAGCACTGGCGGTGATATTGTAGCAAGTATTCTAGCATCTCACGGCAGTAGGTCCATGGCTGTGCCGATATCTTCCGGCAACGCACGTACCCTTAGAAACAGCAGCGTGTGTGCTCGCAATGTGACGTTGGCGTGTAGCTTGCTCGGTCTTGAAGATTTGAACAACACCACGCTAGCTTCAGCTTTGGAGGTTGCACTGAGTGCGAACGAGCATTTTGTCGATGCTGCGGAGCGTTCAGACCACAGAGGGGAAAGTAGTTCGGAACGACGAAGGCATGGTGGGTTCGTGGACCCGGATTCCTTGGATCAAAACACAAACAGGTTACGGACTAACTGTGAGGCGTCGGCACGAATTAATGATAGTATCAATGAGAGGGTAAAAGGATCTGAGAGCTTGGGTAGTATGGATGATTGTGAAGATATTAAAATGGCTGAAGTGAAACCGAAAGCACCTAGAAGTACTGCTAAGAAGGATCATGCTAGACAGACGGGGAGGAAGGCGGATGTGCACGACCTTGGCGAACACACTGCCACGAGTTCGCGCGAGCACAATAAGAATGTGCTGTTATCACTCGGTTTATTGTCGCCCCGTCCGGATTAAAATGACTTCGAAAAGTTTTCGAGTCGTGGCGTTAAGTTTAGAACGTGTAGTGACTACCCTGTTTCATGAATCCTGTAGCATGACTAAACACGGCACCACAAAACGAGCCTCATTCTATCGCGATAGTTAAATTTCAACAAATATGCATCGTATAATATGAAGTTGTCTGGAAAATTCTCCCTATCAACGGTATTGAGCTATATTCGCAATGCGAGTGACGCATCAACGCTCGTTTTCGGCGTGAATACCATCCTTTTGATTTTGGTAGCAATGGCATCAGTGAGAGAATCTGCACTTGCGAAGATGGTGGACCAATTTCGAGACATCAAGGGTACCGAAACAGACGCCAACATTGTAATATCTTGGAAGTTAGGTATCTTATTCTTCAGTAACTACCTTCGAAAATCGTAAAAGAAGAGCGAGACAATATATTAGGGTGATCAACTCTCGGCACTGTAGTGTGGTATACAGGGCCGGTGGCTTGTCTCTCAAAGTTTCTTGATAATTTATTCTCAAGTTGCGCGACATACTTCATCAAGGCTAGGTACGAAATTGTTATGCCATCCGCGAGATATTTGACAAACCAATCTTCTTTATTTCAACTGGCATACGAGCTGTCCTATGCATTCTATATTTGAAGCATACCAGATAACCAGACGCATCAATTTCAAGTGGCGACAACGTCCAAAATCTTACGCTAACTTTCAGTTTCGTGTTTTTTGACATCTGGATTGAGACAAGTGTGCCTGAGAAACGAAATAAAAGTATATCTACACGCCGTGTTCATAGATGATGATTCACAAATGTTTACTCATACCTATAGACTTGCTTATA